ATGATTCTCCACCGGGCGGCCGGTGGCGCGCGGTGTCCCGCCGGTGTCCCGTCGGTGTCCCGTCGGTGTCCCGATCATGATGTTGATGATGATGATGATGATGATGATGATGATGACGTTGATGATGATGATGTCGATGATGATGATGATGATGATGATGATGATGATGATGATGATGATGATGATGATGATGATGATGATGATGATGATGATGATGATGGTGTCCCGATGGTGATGATGATGATGATTATTATGTTGATGATGATGATGACGATGATGGTGTCCCGATGATGATAGTGAGACCGAATGTGAGACCGAATGTGAGACCGAATGTGAGATCGATAGCGAGATCGATTGAGTGAGACGTTGGTTCCCCCTCCCCCCTCACCTCCTTATCACCCGCAGGGTGGTCGTATAGGTGTATATATATATAGAGAGAGAGAGAGAGAGAGAGAGATTCCTCTTCCTAATTTTTTACAAGCCCTGGCGGGGGGGAAACCCGTCAACCCCCCCAAAAAAACCGGACTCAGGGGATCTGGGGCTTTGGAACCCTTCGGACGGGCCTCGAAGCGGCCCCCCGGGCCTCGCAGGGCGTTTTGCCAAGCCTTCGCAGCACATCTAGGGCGATCAGGGGGGTCATCGGAGACGTCACAGAGGAGAACCCTAAGACAGCACAAGAGCGCTCCAAGAAGCCGTCATACCCCGAAAGATCGCTCCAAAACGTACCAAGAGGCCTCCAAGAGCACCCCCAAGAAGGCCCCAAGAGGGAATAATCATCGATTTAATGTAGGTTTTTGGTGAATTTCGGGTTCTCCTCTTTTCCGCTTCCCGACGCTCCAAGACAGCGGTCTTCTGGGCGTCCGAAGTCGCCTGGGAGGCTCCAAAATCGCCCCGCAGCCATCCGAAAGGGCTTCCAGGCAGTCCAAGAGAGCCCCAGAACGGCACAACAGGAGTCCAAAATGGCCCTAAGAGAGCCCCATGGCGGCCCAAGATGGCCCCAAGACACCCTCCGAAGCATTCCAAATCGTGACCGGGGCGTTCAGGGAGAGCGCGGTTAGAGGCAGGGTGGCCTTAGGAAGCCCCTGAGGCCTCCGCAAAAAGAGCTGAGGAGGATGGGGAGAATAGCCAGGGTATGGCGAGAATGAAGAAAAATGAGCATGGAGGAGGGATAACGAACAACATTATTATCACGGCGATGCCAGAAAAGGCAGCAAAGAGTTATCGTACAAAATGTCCGCTTAACTTTCCTGCCATTTCCGCCTGCATACCAATCTTCAAAGACCAAGGTGCATGGCGCGAAGCGCCACTGCAGCCTTTTGTGTATATATATAATGCATATAAATATATGTGTGTGCGTGTATACATAGATATTGGTGTACATATATACACGTGAATGCATACATATATACATATATACATACATACATGCATGCATGCATGCATACATACATACATACATACATACATACATACATACATACCTTACATGTATATACATAAACATGTGTATAGGTGACTATGTGTATGTGACAGCTGTGACACCACATGGTGGTGTTATTCCACAACCTTGAAAACATACATTTAATAGTTGAGGTTGCACGTGGCTTCTGTATCTTCTAAATATTGAAACATATGTGGCGTATCTGCAGTTTCACAAGTTATCCTGTCTGGCACGCTGTCTGTGCAAGGAAGAATCCGCCATCGTGCCCTCAGCCCGTAATGGAATGCCCCAAGGCCCATGCAGTCCTGAGGAATTCCGGGCCACCGGTATCCGAAGATTTTGGGGATATCCAAGGATTCCCTGGGCGTGTCGCACGCGTCGTTTGGTAGCGCCAAACGTGGACCCAAAAAGCGCCCAAGACGGCCGAAGGCGCCTCCGAGAAGGCCCAGGAGTGCCCCAGCACGCCCAAGATGGCCCCAACACGGCCCACGAGGCCCCCAATACGTCCCAAGAGCTTTCGTACAGGCGTCCCAAGAGGGCCCCAAGAGGCAAAATTCACGGATTTTCCATCGGTTGTTGGCATGCTCGCCTCTTCGGCTGTCCGACGCTCCAAGACGGCCCACGAGGCCCCCAAGATCGCCCCAAGACGGCCCCAGAGGCCCACAAGAAAGCCTCAACATGGCCCTAAGAGGGCCCCAAAATGGTCCAAAAGGCGCCCAAGACGGCCCACGAGGCGCCAAATGACGGCCCCAAGATGGGGCCCAAATGGGGAATCCCAACGGACACTTCGAGCACTCGGCCCCGATGGGCCCCCGCGTCCAGCCCGCATAAAATTCTTGCTGCCCGCCGTCCAATTTAGCGCCCGCAGCGCGTCGTCCGCCGTGGCGCAATGCTCCTGACCGCGCCCTGGGCGCACCATGTCTGGCGGCAGCAGCGGGGGCGGGAACGGGCTTCGCTGCCCTCGCGAGGCCGCCAGTCTGGGGCGGCCGCCAGCCCCCTGATCTCGGCCAGGGACGGGGGGGCCGTGGCCGAGGCGCCGGTCACGGCGCCTTGGGGGCGACGGTGCCTGCGCCGCGGCATCGGCCGCCGCCGCCAAGGCCCCGGCCGCCCCCGCCTCCTCCTCCTCCGTCAGCGCCGCCGCTGCCTTGCCCGCCGCCGAGCCCCAGGCCTAGTGGGGACGCCCCAGTGGGGGAGCCCCTCAGAGCCTGCTAGCCTTCTCGATACTTTCGCATCTGGCACGCCACGTGCGAGCGCATAGGCTGGCCCGCCACGTCCTCGGCCGAATGCGCGCCCGCGTAGTACCTGGCGACCTCCCACTGCACCTTCTGGGGGGTTGGCGCACGCCGCCACGATGCCGCCAAGCCGCTTGCACAGCACTTCCAGCACCATCAGGCCACCAAGATTCACCTGATCGCAGCAGCCAGCCATGTACAAGGCCTCGCATATGCAGCGAAGCTCGCGAGCAACGAGATCCGTGGGCACCAGACCTTTCTCACGGAGGTACTCCCTGAGCCACAGGCGAGGGCCCCCGCCCACCTTCAACATATTCTTGCACGTCGTCAAAGCGTTGGGTGGGGCGTCCATCGGCTGATCGCTGAACTCTTCTTGGGTGCTCTCACGCACCGCCTCGCGCCAGGGCTGCAAGATCTCCCCCTGGCCGTCGAAGTCCACCGCCAACAGCCGAACGTCTTCGCTGACGACAGGCGTCGCGGACTTGACCGCGCTGGCTGGCCCGGCAGGGAGGGGGCGCCAGCTCGCGGCACAGACGCTCGTGGAGGTCCATTCCCTCTGGCTCCGGCGTTGGGCCCACGCCCAGCATCTCCCGCAGCGCGGCGGACCGGGTGTCGGCGCGGACCGGGACGTCCTCGCTCGGCACCCGCGCCACCCGCACGCACTGGCCCTCGGCACGAGGCCCGCCTCCTCCGAGCCCGGGGCCACGACAGGGCGCCCCCGAACGTCCACCTCGCCCCGATGGCCACAGCTGGCGCAGGTTCGGACGGAACCCACGCGCGGCCCGCCAGGACAGGCAGCGGCGGCTCCTCCAGCGGCGGGGCGTCGGTCCCGCCAGCGCGAGGCCCCTCGGCGTCCGCCGTCGCCACGGCCAGGGGCGTCCCGCCCCGAGCACGGCGGGCCGGGGCCCCCGGGAAGCGGCCCCCGAGGAGGCGGCCCGGCGGCAGCGGCTCGCCCCTTGGGCTCCTGCACCTGCTCTGGCAGCGGAGGCTCCTGGCCTGCCCTGCACGCCGCCTCGCAGGCTCGACGGCCACGCAGGACTTCCTCACGCAAGTCCGACGCTCCGAGCCGCTCTGGGAAGCGATACAGCGGCCCCCGTCTCCGCCCACGACGGCCTGGCGGGGCAGATCCGTCGGCTGGCAGCAGCTAGCAGCGCGTCGGTCCGTCAATGAGGTCCTGGCACGCCACGCCCTGGAAGTACTCGTCTCCATGTGGGATGCGGATCCACCAAACCCCCCTCTCCAAGGGGATACAGATGGACCCTCTCATGGTCCACATCATCTCCGTCGTACTCCATGGCAACGTACTGGCGTGGCACCAGCTCACTGTACCACTCCTCCTCCCGCGATCGGGGACCAGTCCGGAAGTTGGACCAAGGCCATGGACGCCTCTGAGATAAAGAAGCAGGCTTGAACAAAATGATGGCAACTGGAAACATCAACCGCACACACTTCCCTTTACCTTCCCGTGCAAGCACACACATACATGCATATACGTGTTTAGATGTGTACATGCATGCATTGTATATGTATATGCGTATGTACGTGTATGTGTATATGTATATAATATGGCTGTGCTTATCTTAACCTGATGTCCCGCTCACCCTCCACGATACTCGATAAATGGTGTTTCAAGTAGGCCATGTCCGCGGAGTCCTTCTCGGCGGCAGACACATCCCCGGCCACCGTGCAAAAGGTTCCGACCTCAACTGGTGGCACTTCTCTTGAGACCCCTCCACCGTACTCAACTGATGCATACATGAACGTCCGTTATGAGGTTCCGAATGCTACGCTCGAGCGTCTCGAGCAGAACACATGCGCACATGCAAACGTCAAGACAAGAAGCTCGCTTACGCACGTGCAGACATACTACATATGCGAAGCCATACATTCAGACGCGCATGCACACACACACACACCTGCACACGTGCGTGCGAAAACACAAATCTACCACAACTATACACATCAACATATGTCATTTACGCACGATCCGCTACTCCTACTCCTTTTCCTCGCCGTCATCCCCGCATGATACTCATACTGTTTGCTGCTGCGTTGCTCCTCCTCGCCCCCCCTCCCTTTCACTCTGAATGCACTTCATCTCCCTTCTCCCCCTCCGCCTCCTCCTCCTCCTCGTCCTCCTCCTCCTCCTCACGCCTCCTAGGCACGCCCTGAAGCCTAATGGGGCATCCTGGGAGACCCGAAGCCGCTTCGGTACCCCCTGACTCTTCACAAGATCGGAGGGATCGATCTCCACGGCGGGGGGAGGAGGAGGAAAGGAAGGGGAGGAGAAGGAAGAGGAGGAAGGAGGAGGAGGAAAAGTGCAAGCCCAAGACGCACTTACGAAGTTGAAATAAACCCTCCCTTCAAGTTCCCACTTCGTAAGTCTCGACAGGAATCTACTTTCAGTGGGGAAAGTGCCACATCGGAAGACAACTGTCTGAGAATCCTCGATCCTGCCAAAATACCTATCCCAAACTTTGAAGACGAATGTGCACGGCGCTAAAGAGAGAGAGAGGGCCACAGCTTGAAAAAGGACAGCCCTCCGTCGAAGCTGCTGAAAAGCTTAAAACCAATGTGCGTGGCGCAAAAGCGGGAGCCGAATCTGTCCCCAATCAGGGCTTGCACCGGTAGCGCGTTGGGATCCTAGCGGATGTTGAAAAAGCAGGCGACGGTACGGCGCCGACCTCGGTAAGCGGCCAAGTTCCCGGGTTCCCAATTCCACGTTCCGGCCCGATTTCGATGGGCGGCCAGGTTGCTGGCTTCTCTGTTCTGGATCCGGGGTCCTCAGCGTTGTATGGTTTCTGGGTCATCGAGTTCTGGCTTCGGCTAAATACCCAAGTCCGTGCGACCGCTGCGACCACGGTCAGAATCATATAAGAGACAAGAAAGAATTATGAACCAGCTCAGATAATATAATGCATAATTGAGGGGTAACATCGCTGAACATCCGGAGTATTACTGAACATAAAGCATAGATAATTGACGATGCGTAGATGGGGGAAGAGAGAGAGAGAGAGACCGAGTCGATAGAGAGAGAGGGAAAACAGAAAACACAAAAACAACAAAACTACAAAATATGATATACTTAAGCTCGATTATGAATACATGCACAGAGAGATCGAAAGATACAGAAGTTATAAAGTAGAGAGCGAGAACAGAGAGGAGTTCCCCAATCAGTGCTTGCACGTGGTCCCACTGCAGACTGAAAGAGTAGGCGAAAGTGGCGGAGCCGATTTCGGTGGGCGGCTGGTCGCCCCAGTTCACTGTTCTGGGCCCAGGGTTCATGGAGCGGTGGCGTTATAAGTTTCTCGAACCGTCCTGGGCGATCGCGACCACATTGTGGATTAGAGTAGATACAGTAAACCGTACAACAGATCAGAGAGCAGAAAGCATAGTTAAGCACAGTAAATAATTAAACCTTATTGAGGGAAATATGGTAGACCGACTCTTGCACACTGAAACAAAGGGGAAACGGAGTACAGAGCGAGGGAAAGAGAGAGATCGACGGAGAGAGTCTGTGTGACCGCTGTTTCTATATAGGCTCGCACATGGGTGGAGAGGTTCGGATAAGGTGACGCATGTAGTACTTAAAGATGGTACTGATCGGAAGCGAAAGAGAAAGAGAGAGAGAGAGAGATAAACAAAGAGATAGAGAAAGAAATTAATATAAGCCAGGGGCCTGGTTCGGGGGGGTCCCCGTTCGAGCCGGCGCCGAAGATGCTATTGGAAGACTCTATTCGCCTAAGGAGCTGCGGTGACACCTCTATTCCGCTGGCACCTGGTGAAGCTCGTGACGCCTCTATTCGGCCTGAAGCCTCTATTCCGCTGAAGCCCATTGAAGCTCGTGAAACCTCTATTCGGCCTGAAGCCTCTGATCCCCTGACGCCCATTGAAGCTCGTGAAGCCTCTATCCGGCCTGAAGCCTCTGTTCCCCAGACGCCCATTGAAGCTCGTGAAGCCGCTATTCGGCCTGAAGCCTCTATTCCCCTGACGCCCATTGAAGCTCGTGAAGCCTCTATTCGGCCTGAAACCTCTATTCCCCTGACGCCAAGTGAGGCTCGTGAAGCCTCTACTCGGCTTGAAGCATCTGTTCCCCTGACGCCCACTGAAGCTCGTGAAGCTTCTATTCGGCCTGAAACCTCTATTCCCCTGACGTCCATTGAAGCTCGTGAAGCCTCGGGTCTTGTCTAGAAGGTGCCGCACAGCAGGTGGGGCACGCCTAGCACCAAGAATTCTTGGTGAATTAACTTGGGAAGGGCTTTTGCCTATCAGAGGGTGCCGCACAGCAAAGGGGCACATCTAGCACCAAGGATTTGTTTTATCAAGTTGGGGAGTGGTCTTGCCTAGAAGAAGGTGTCGCACAGCAAAGGGGCAAGCCTAGCACCAATTGGGGAGGGCCATTGCCTAACAAAGGGTGCCACACAGCAGATGGGGCACGTCTAGCACCAAGGATACTTGTGTAATCAACTTGGGGAGGGGGTCTAGCCTAGCAGAAGGTGCCGCACAGCAGATGTGGCGCGCCTAGCACCAAGGATTTGTTTGTAATATACTCGGGGAGGGCTCTTGCCCAGCAGAGGGTGCCGCACAAAAAATGGGGAACGTCTGACATAAAGGTTTGTTTTATCAACTTGGGGAGGGGTCTTGCCTAGCAGAAGGCGCCGCACAGCAGATGGGGCACGTCTAGCACCAAGGGTTCTTTTTGAATCAACTTGGGGAGGGGTCCTCCGGGAGAGACCTTGGCCAGCAGAGGGTGTTGCACAGCAGGTGGACACGTCTAGCACCAAGGATTCTTGTTCAAAAAACATGGCGAGGGGTCTTGCCTAGCAGAGGGCGTTGCACAGCAGGTGGGGCATATCTAACACCAAGGATTCTGTTTTAAACAACTCAGGGGTCTTGCCGAGCAGAGGGTGTCGCACAGCAGATGGGGCACGTGTTGTGTTGGACAGTGGACGTAGACTCAAATTGCACTTTCAACTAACAATTGGGAGGGGAGCGCGTTGAGTACTGGGCACGGTAGAGAAAAGAAACATCTTCACAGGGAATAACGTCTTCACAAGGAATAGCGTCTTCACCAGGAATAGCGTCTTCACCGGGAATAGCGTCTTCGCCGGGAAAAGCGTCTTCACCCGGAATAGCGTCTTCACAAAAAATAGCGTCTTCACCGGGAGTAGCGTCTTCACCGGGAATAGCGTCTTCACCTGGAGTAGCGTCTTCACCGCGAATAGCGTCTTCACCGCGAATAGCGTCTTCACCCGGAATAGCATCGTAACAGGGAATAGCGTCTTCACCGCTATAGCCTCTTCACAAGTCGAATACCGTCTTCACTGGGAAGAGCGTCTTCACCCGGAATAGCGCCTTCACCGGGAATAGCGCTTTCACCGGGAATAGCGTCTTCACCGGGAAAAGCGTCTTCACCCGGAACAGCGTCTAGAATAGCATCTTCACCGCGAGACGCGTCTTTACCCGGAATAGCGTCTTCACCGGGAATAGCGTCTTCGCCGGGAATAGCGTCTTCACCCAGAATAGCCTCTTCACAAGTCGAATACCGTCTTCGCTGGGAATAGCGTCTTAACCGGATTAGCGTCTTCACCAGGAATGGCGTCTTCATCGGGAATAGCGTCTTCACCCCCAATAGCGTCTTCCAAAAGAACAGCGTTTTCACCAGGAATAGCGCCTTCACCGGGAATAGCGTCTTCACCCCAATAGCGTCTTCACAAGGAATAGCGTCTTCACCGGGAATAGCCTGTTAATGGGGAATAGCGTTTTCACCCGGAATAGCGTCTTCACCCAGAATAGCGTCTTCACCCGGAATAGCGCCTTCACGGGGAATAGCGTCTTCACAAGGAATAGCGCACTCACAGGGGATAGCGTCTTCACAGGGAGTAGCGTCTTCACCAGATTAGCGTCTGCACCACGAATAACGTCTTCACCAGGAATAGCGTCTTCACCGGGAACAGCGTCTTCACCGGGTCGCTGGTCGCGCCACGTGCTGCTGGCGGGGCTTACCTGGCTGGGCCACAACGTGGCCGACGTTGCGGATGTAGTTGGCCAGATATATGGGTCGGTCCTCTCTGGCCAGCCCTTTGAAGGCCCCGGCTCGCCTGCACGAGCGAGTTGCACGTTTTGCCATGCTGTGAAAGGTCGTACACTTCTCGGTGAGGCACGCACAAGGGCGGCTCGTTGTCGTCGCGCCGCGTAGGTCGGAACAGCGGCGCGTTGCTGCGGCGCTGGATCACCTCCATGACGCGCAGGATGCATTCCTCCATCCAGGCCTGGAAAACTGCGCGAGCTGGCCCCCATGGGCCCCAAACAGCGGGCGCGCGCAGGATGGGCCGGATGAGTTCATGCCTTTGCCTGCGCGCCCCCATCTGCCAGGGGCAACAACGGCGCTTGAATCGACGCCCGGCGAGGACTCGAGTCTGCAGGAGCACGTCCACGTCGTCAATCTTCGGCGGCGTCATCATGGACCCCGCGGTCGCTGTCGGGGTCTTGGATGGGGCCGTCGCGGACCAGGTGGCCCGCGCCGCTTCTTCACTGGCTGCCACCAGTCAAGGAAGACTGGTGTCCAGCTGCCCGCATGCTGCAGCGTGGTGGGCACATTCGATTGGCAAATCAGGCTCCCGCGCGCTGGCCCCAGGTTGGTCTGCGAACCGCGCGGCTTCTCGGAGGGCGTCGAAGATACTCACGCTGCGTCGTCATGCTGGCTTGTTGCCGTCAGCACGTGGCTGGGGCCGCCGGCGCCCAGCCAAGCGAGCGGCCGTTGCCGGCGTTGACCCGCAGTCGCTTTGGAAGCAGCTGGCGCCCATCCCCCGTTGCCTGCGCGCACGCACTGGTTCTGCTGAAAGTTCATCGGAGGGTCAATGGAGTCCTTGTGGACCACTGCGGCCACGCGCAGCATTCGTAGCCCGCGGTGACCCCGGCAGGCCCTTGCACCCGTCGGCGGTCGTTGGGGTCGAAGTGGCCCCCGACGTCAAAGTAGTAGGCGCAGCGATGGGAGGCTTCGCGTCGCCCGCGGTGGCAAAAGAAAAGACCGCGTCGGCGTCCGCGGTCACTCAGCAGACGAATTCGGTCACGCCTCGATCAGGCTTCGGGGCCGGTGCCCCATGACGTTGGCCACTTAGGATGAGGCCCCACATGAGAGCCCAGGCGCGGGCCACCACTCGCGCGGGCCCGAAGCGCGCGACGGCGGCGGCGCGACGGGCGCAGCTGCGGGCGCACGCCGGGCAGCAAGATCGCTTCTGAGCCGAATGCTGCGGAGCCCGGGCAAGCCAGGCAGGTCAGTAGCCCACTGACAAGCTGGACGAAAGAAAACAGCAGGCACACATAGCAGGACCCGCGCCACGGCAGACCCGTTTCTGCCCCTGCAGAAGCGCGCACGTGAAGGCCAAATGCCCTCAGGCATCGTTACCTCGGCGGGGTGAGGGGGGCCCATCGAGGCCACTTCAGCACGGGCCTGGCGGCGGTTCGGGGCGCGGGCGGCGTGGCGGAATGGCCCTGAAGTCACTTTCCTGTCTCGCTCCCCCATCGGGCTGCTCGCGCTGCCCCTGCGCACCCGGCGCGGTGGCGTCGGCGCTCACATGCCCTGGCAGGTTCGGCGCGTGGGCGCGGGCGCTGGGGCTGCGCGGCGCCGCCCGGGCCTGCGCCAGCGTGACTAGCGGTGCCATCTTGGCCGTTAGGGTTCGCAAGTCCGCGCTGAGGCTTGGTAGCCTTGCACTGTTGCGACGCCGTGCTCGAGCTCGCGGCAGCGTTGAGCGAGCGCGGCTTGGCTCGCAGCCGCGCTGGAGACCGCGCATGCGCATCGCCGCGCTGCGTCGGTCAGTCACTTCCGGTCTGCTTCCAGGCTGCGGAAGCGGGCGTCGGCCTCATCCAGGATGCCCGGCATGCTTGGCTTTGACAACCACTCTTCGTCTGAGTCTTCTCCGTAACCCAGCGACTCACGGCCACCCTGGGGGGCCCAGAGGGGCGTCAGCGACTCCGAGTTGGTGGCCATCCTCCGACATGACGAAGCCGCTCCGCGTTGCACCGGCGGAACCCCGGCGGGCGCGGGGCCGCCCTCCCTCGCGGGAGGGTCCGCAGCTAGCCTAGCGACGCCGACAGAGCGCTGGCGCGCTCCGGCCACGCCGGCGCCCCGTTGCTTCCTCTCTGGCGATGGCGCCACTGCGGCCGACGCCCACTTTTTTGCCTGTTGGAAGGCGGCGTCAGTAGTGGTCGGAGGCACGGCTCGTTGGTAGTCCTGTCTTGGAGGGTCGGAGTAGCGATGGCGCTCGCGCCGCCTGGCGGCGATCCCTGCATGGGTGGATCTGCCAGGACGGCCTGTAATAACGCAATCTCTGCCGTCGGTGACATTGGCAGTTCCGCCGCGGCGGTGGCTCCAACCTGAGCGATGGTCCATGGGATGCTTGAGCCCTGGACGTGGACGGTGGAATTACGTGAGACCGTTACCGTCGCGATGATAGCACAGCCACCCCGGATCGCTTTGTCCTATCCCGCCCAGGGAAGGTGAAGACTTTGGCGAATTGCGTCTTGGTTGCACTTCTGGACTCGCTGCATGTGATTCGATACTTGCTGCTAGCGAGTGCCGCGTCGGTTCCACGGAGTTCGACTCCGACCGTTCTGGCCTCTTTCGACTCGTTTGCCAGCGCGGAGGGCCCCGAAGGCCGTGAGCCTTCGAAATGCCTGGTGGTCCTCGTGGTCTGGTGACCACCCTGGTACCACACGGTGACGCACTCGCTTGGTCCAGGTCCCTTCCTGCCATGGTAGCCGATGTCAACTTGGATACCTCCTGACCAGAGTCAGAAAGGATGGCTGGGTCTCCGGCGGGCATGATGCCGAAAGGTAGCGGTGAGTCTCCATTTGCCTGTCACCGTGCCGCGGCGCACCAGCAGCTCCATGGATTCTTGGATGGGGACCGCGTGGGAGTGGAAGCGAAGATGGCTGTGGAAGCGTCACTGTGGTCGTCTTCCAACAGTTCGTGTGAGTGGTCACGCTCGGCGGTCTCGTGATGCCCTGTGGCCATAGACTGGGTCGTGCCTGTCCCTCCCGGTTGCCGCGCGCCGTTGGTCGGCACCACCCCTTGGAACTGCGATGTGAGGAGCTCCTGCGGAGACGGTGCAACGGCGATGGCGTCGTTTCGCACGTGGCTCCGCGGATTCATACGACATGGCTCCGCGGATCCATACGACATTGTTTGAAGGGCCCAGAGTCAGTTGGACCACGTTCTGCAAGCATTTGATATCAGAGCGGCCAACTGGTACACAGTTCCCCAGATGTGGCCAGGCGTGGGCTTGGAAGCCGTCGCCGTCCTACGGAGCACAAGGATTTAAATTTATGGTCTTGGGCATTCGGTGCGGACAGGTATCAGTACGGCGAGGGCGAAGGACTTCTCTTGCTGGCGGATATGTTGCACGAGGCGGACTCCTTTCTGGCGTACGTAGTGAGATGCAGCTGGCGTGTGGTGCGCCGTCCTCGATCCTGGTGGGCACCCAGGCGATGGGGAAACCCATTTCGACGCCCGAAATGGGTACGGAAAAAATGGGTACAATGCCCAACAACAAATGTTGTCCCAAACCGACAAGGCCGCGGCGGCGTGGACAGCGAGTCCTGGTTCAAAATGAGCAGGAACTGCTGCTGGGCACTGTACCCATTCTTTCCGTACCCATGTCATTCGTGCCAATCACCGCAGGGTCCGTCACCACACGGTTTTGGGAGCTCGGTGGCCCCCGTCGCCCGAGACATCCTCGAACAACGACCCCAGTCCCTCGGCGCGCCGTGGCTTACAACGAGGGACGCATTGGGCATTGTACCCATTCTTTCTGCTGGGCATTGTGCCCATTCTTTGTGTGCCCATCTCGTGCGCGCAGAGCCCATCTCTTGTGTGCCTCGAAGCTGCTCAGTGCGACGGTGCCCGTGCCCCGGTGGGCACCGGCCGAGGCCGTGGGCCATGGCGGCTCCCGGCGGGAGCCCGGTTTTGGGGACGTCGGGGAGCGGTGCAGCACGGCGTAGCTGAGCTCCGATGCCCCGCGCACAGGTTCAGCAGCTCGCCTCCCAGCCTGGACCTGTGGGGCGAGGGCGGGGTTCACTCTGCTCGGGGGCTCCCCCGAACGAAGCGAACCCCACCCTCCCCCTCAGAAGTCGTGGGAGGTAGGGATGGGGTTCACATCTGGCCCCCTGGCAGTGCAGCGTGGCGCAGCTGATCTCAGATGCCCCGCGCACAGTTTCATCGGCTCGCTTCTCAGCTTGGACCTGTTGGAGCGATGTCGTTGGTATGCGATGTTAAGTTCCTTGTTGGCGTCTGTGAGCGAGCCCGTTGTATGCAGCGAGTGCTCGGTCGACGCCATCACTTCTCCGCGGGTGGCGGCACAGGCTTCCTTGTAGGACAGGTCACTGTGCTGGCGGTCGTCCAAGCTTGCCTTTTGGCGGCCATTGCCTGGAGGCTCGGGCGCGCTGGAACTGAAGGCGGCACGGCGTTGACCTTTCGGAACCATGGCGCGGGCGCGAGCGTATACCCACAGGGAGAGGGACACGAATCAGTCACACGCAGGGATGGCGTGTGTCCAATTTCACGATGCGCTCAACGGTAATGCTGGGCGTTTCGTGTCGTGGCTGCGCGCTGGGTCAGAGACCGTCGGGCCGACACGAGAAGAGAAAAGGAGGGAAGAGAAGAGAAGAGAAGAGAAAAGGAGAGGAGAGGAGAGGAGAGGAGAGGAGAGGAGAGGAGAGGAGAGGAGCGGAGCGGAG